TTGAACTTAGGGTTTTCTTTAAAAACCCAAAATCTTGGTCTATTGATGGTGGAAATAGCTTAAGAATGATAGATTATCCATTAGATTATCCATTTAGGTTATCTAAAAATCGATTTTATCACCTAGCTTAAGAGGAATTGAGATTTTTGAAATTTGGATTCTACATGGTTCATAAAAATCGAATTTGGAACAGCAAAATTGATGAATTTGATTTAGTCTTGTGTGATTAGTGATTAGTATTAGGTAATCTTTAGAATTCACATGGAAATTGCTCATAAAAACCGATTTTTAGAAGATTTCTATGTTGAGGACATCAAAAATCCGAATTTGGTCATGAATTACTTGATTTCTCTGATTTAATATCAGTTTTGTTTGCTACTAGTTTTAATTAATCTCTTTATACCAGTATTAGTATAACAGATCTTAATGTGTTAAAATTAGCATCCAAAATTCACTCTTTTTCCAAGAATCATTTTATTTTGCAGAAAATGGACGAAACCAGATCCCGAAGGAGCCGTCGAACTGGTGGCAGCTCCGATGATATTCCCGACGATGCTACTCTAGGAGAGTACATGCTGAACCAAGCCAGACCGAGAAGAAGAAGCTATGTGATGAGATTGCTCCAACACTCAAGAGAAACACGAGCACCTCCCGAACCACCACAGATTCGATACATTGGGAGGGAGACAAACCCGAGAGTGGACTATGCAAGGCGTTTCAAGAAGCTGAACATCAAACCCATGCCTTGCATTGATTATCATACACTCGAGATGCTTGGAATCAGAGAGGATGTGATCTGGTACATCAATGCACTTAAGCTGAGACCCTACTTGGAGCTGAACCTTCCGACTTATCCTGAGCTAGTCCGTGAGCTTTTAGCAACCGTTACACTCCACCACACGAAGAGGATGAATCCCAGAGCATCAGATGGCATCTTGTCATTCTCTATCCGCAGACAGCTTTATTCTCTCACCATTTCCGAGGTTTGTGAAGCTCCTAAGCTTCCATACACTGATGGCATTTACCTTGAAGATGAACCTGATCTTAACCTGTGGAGAGAGATGGGTCATGGAGCCTATGATAGTGGGAGATCTAAGTCAGCCCTTCTTAGCCACCCAGCAGTGAGAGTTGTGCACAAACTCTTAGCACACACGATTTTCTCTAGAGCCAACATGGGAGGTGTTTTGAAGACTGAGCTCATTACACTTCAGATTCCGTTTATGGATGATCCACGACTTGCTTGCTTTGCCTGGATCATAGCGCAGAATATGGTAAAGGTGAAGCATGATTTACATGGTTGCGATGACGCTACTCCAGCTTTCGGGAGTGCTATTACAGCGATACTACAGGCTGTAGGATTTGATTTCTCATCTGATGATCCACTTCCCGATGTCTGGTATGATCTACTTTATCTCTCTCGCGATCACACTATCTCTCGTGCCGCTTTCGATCCAGACAGGTTTGGTTACAAGTATTGCACTGGCACTGAGGAGCACCGAGTCCGCTTACCTTCATCATCTATCCCGAGATTGAGCAACGGAGGACGCCCTCGATGGACTCCGGAATCCGATGATTTTCTGCCATCCGTTCCTCGTCTACCATTCACCATTGGCCAGTACATAGTGGCCAAGGCGAGGCATGATGCAGCTGCGGCCCGTGCTCATTTTCAGCCATCCATTCCGACCGGCCACACCTTATCATCTACATCATCTCATACTCATTCCGATCTGGAGCGCAGAGTTGAGAGACAGGGACGACGCTTTGAGCGCGTTGTCACCTTCCTACAGGAGCAGCACCAGTTCGCAGACGACACTTCGGAGGATGAGTGATTGATCAGCACTTCACTACCATCACGGTTCTATCATCATTTTCTTTTCTTTTATCTTATTTTATTTCGCTTTTATTCACCATCTTATCACCAACTTTTTCACACTAGGGACAGTGTGATTTAAGTCTGGGGGAGGATGTCTATCCGTACTAATCATTTCCCTGCTTTGCTTTTAATTTTCAAGTACTTTTTATATTTTAATATGTAACCTATTCGACATTAAGTATTTTTCAGGAATGTTTGACGCAAAACTATGATGATTTAGACCTGCACACTTCTACACTATGCATGATAGCTCATTTGTGGTTAGCACTAGACTAGGCGGTAGCTAGAGTACTCCCACCAGAGGACTTCTATTCATGGAGATTCTATCTGACAGGATATACTAGCTCATTTTATTTGAACTTAATATTGATACCTAATTTTCTCATCATTGATTTTAGGCAGGCGCCGACATACACATCTAGGACGTCTTTTACCCCACTTTTACCACTCTTTGTCGTCCTAGATGACCAGTTTATCTTTATCTGGTACCATACCCTAAACCCAAAACCTTTGTTTTCAATCCTCATGCATTCTCTCTTTAGTTTATATCAGCAGATATGTGCAAAAATGTCGGAGAGAAGAGGAGCGACGCAGTTTTCAGTCACTCGCAAAAGAGACTGAATGGAATTGGGAAGGAAGAGTATCAGAAACATAATAAAGCTTTACAAGACAGATATTAACTGGTAAATTCGTGCTCTCTAAGACTCTATATCTAAAGGTGTTCCCTTTCTTTTCCAAAAAAAAAAAAAAAAAAACGTGAAAAAGAAAAAAGGGACAAAAAGCCTAATGAGTCTTAGATTGTCGAAATTTGTGGAGCAATGAGCAACAACTATTCATTTATGGAGCTATTGTTTTGAAAGATTTACAAAAATCTAAGTCTGGGGGAGTTTGGAGAGAACTTGAGGAAGAAGACCATGAATCTATGTCAAGAAGAAAGTGACTGAAAACTGTGGATACCAACAGCTTCATTCTCTCTTGCGGTTTTGCATAATGTCCTGCATCCTCCAGATCTTCAGGTAACCCTTAAACACTTTAAGCCATACCCCCAAAATAATCCTTCTTTACACCTAGCCTAGATTGCCTTGCCTAGATTTTCTATGATGAGAACCACCGAGATTTTTAATGAATGTTAAGAGCTAGTTGACTGGAAGTTAGATCTTAGTGCATAGATTTCTGCATAACGGATTAACGGACTAGTTATGCCTGTATTGCTAGTAAGAATTTTCTAGGCTATTCCCGATTGATGCATACTGATTGATATTGGTCTAGAAGTTTGGTCTCTGAGATTTTGTTTAGTTCCTGCGTTTTCAAACCTCTCGCCGAGATTTAGCCTTTGTTTTGTTTGAGGACAAACAAAAGACTAAGTCTGGGGGAGTTGATAACACCGGATTTTGACCATTTTTATGGATCACTTTAATATCTTTTACAGGTGTTTTTACTCCATTTTCAAAGGTTTTCAAAGGATTTCTATGTTTCCGGATTTTAAAAGACTTTTCAGGTAATTTGGGATAAAGAGGCACAAAATGGAACAAAAAGACTCTTTTGGATAAATGCAGACCGTCAGAACTCTCATAGAGAGACGAAGACCTTCTCACCGTCTGATCACCCTCAAAACTGGACAACTTATAGAAAAATCAACCAGCTTTCAAATACACTTGGTTTGGAGACATTCCAACGGTTGGATCTCAAGATATTCCATTAGCCCCGAAGCCACGCGGAGTCGGCCAGCAACTCACGCGACCGCGGCCAACAAGCTATTTGCCGCGGTCAGAAGCTTCCCGACCGCGGCCAACAAGCCAATTGCCGCGGTCACAACACTCCCGACCGCTGCATTCAAGCTCCGACTTAAAGCCCACTTATCTGAAGCCCAAAGTCATTCTCAGCCTCAATTCCGGAACCCTAGAGACCATGGAGTATTGGAGACTATAAATACATGTCATTTAGGTCGTTTTTAGGAGAACCTTTGATACTTTACAGAAACCCTTTTCCTTTAGCCGTTTTTATGAGATTTTTGTAGAAGATTGTTCAAGTCCGAGTTCTTCAATAGAGAAGCTTTCTTTATCTCTTTTCTTTACTGTTTTTCATTACTTTTATTAAAACCAATGATGATGTCGAACTCAGCCATGTCTGAGTAGATCCAGAGTTGGGCTTAGGGTTCCCGAAAGGGGCTCTCATAATCGATTAAGACATCTAGGTTTATAGATCTGGGATTTCGACCTGTTCTCTGTTTATTCTTGTTCTTATTGCATGTATGCTTGATTGATCACCTAGTATCTGATCTAGATAGTTAGTGTTGCGAAAGTTTTTATTAAGTATCAGCCCTAGAATGAAACAGGCGATTTTTCCGTAGGAGTGGAAACCTACCTGCGGCGAGATCGTGAGTATTGACGAGTCTTGTGCAGCTCTTGCGTTCTCTCCCTTCCAGGGCCAGAGTGGAAACCTACTGGTCAGGGTTGCGAGAAACAGTTGGTTATGATCACGACAGTGACGTAGTCATACCGCCGTACTCTAGCTCTAGAACCCATATATTGTTATCCGTCAATCCCAATCTATCTACCTTAATGTTAAAACCGATTATGATCCCTTAGAGTTCCCAAAAGCTCAGCGTTTTTAGCCATAGTTTACAATTCCATCGATTTTTACTTGCTTTCTTAGACCAGCATTTCAATTTCCTTAGTTCGTTATTTACTTGCTTTATTTACCTTTCATGCGATATTTTACTTGCCTTATTTTTGTTTAGTTCGATATTTTACTTATTCCATTTGCATTTCATTCGATTTTCTTACTTGCTTTTTAGGATAGATTTATTTGCTTTCTTTTGCTTTAGTTTAATTCGAGAAAAACAACCAACCTTTAAAACCAATTTAGTCTAGACATAAAGTTAAAAACCGTAGAAGAATACCAGGCACAAAAATCTCTGTGGATTCGATCCCTAAATACTACAACTGATTAGCTGTGCACTTGCGGCTTTCATTTGTTTTGTTAAGGGTAAAACTTGTTCCCTCACGTAGTTGACACTCAACACCGCATCAACATACGATGAGGTATTATACACTTTATATATTTTATTTCAATGAATTTTATATTAAAAAATCATTTCTCAAATATTTATTATTTTTCAACATAGATACAAGATCCATATGTCGTTCCTGATGTACTGCAAAACTTGGTTGGGAAGACTTTTCAGTTTCTAATTTGTGTTGAGAAAGAAAATCTCTACAGTGGTAGTAATACATACAAGGTCGAAAAGGTTTGGAAAGGCAATCAGGTTTTGACTACCACCGTTGATGATGCGAATGAATCTGAAGATGGGGGTGATCAGAGTTTACTCATGTATGGCGATCAGGTAAAATTTATATGATGTGAATGTATGTTTTATATTTATGAGACAATACTATATCTTGAAAATTTATTATTTATAGGCATCACTGATGAACACACATAGCCAAGAGTCTTCGGATGATGTTTCTGGCAATATCAAAACTCTTTTATCAAAGCGTGAGCGTGATGATCCTAAAGATTCAGTCGACTCATCCTCATCGTCTAAGAAGTCATGTAATAGTGGAAACAGTGTGGAAAAGACATATGCTAATGAAGTGATTGATTAGGATACACTGAAGAGTGATGGTGTTTTGGTGAACGCTCTTCTTACAAGTAAATCCAATGAAGGTGTTGCCAAGGGCGAACTAGAGGACGTGGTGGTGGTAAAGTTGTTGGCAAAGAGGGAGGCAAAAATGGGAAGATGTGATCCCATATATTCTGGAGTTTATGAATTTGTTATTATTCAATTTTTTTATTGAATAACTTTCTCTTTTCCAATATTTGGTTTTGTATTTTGAGCATTCGGATATTTATTTTTTTGTAGTTAGTTAATTGTTTCTATAAGTTGAATTATTAATAAAATATGTTTGGGTTTTGCATACTATGTTTGCCAGTCACATGTTATACATTTTAATTCATTTGCATCAAAAAAATAGAAGTATAATATATGAGTAGTTTAAATAAATACTCCTTATGAGTTCTGACGATGATCCTTACGAGTTCTGACGAACTTGAGAATCCATCGTCTGGATCTTCACTCACTCCTTCATATAAGAAGCTAATTTTTTTTTTTATGGTAATTGTCGAACTTTTTTTTGCATATTTTTATTTAATTGTGGAACTTGAATTTTGCCCTAGAATTTTTTTTTCTAATTCAATTTTTTTAAACTTTAATTTGTGATTTAAAATTTTTGGTTCAACCAACTGTCATAAATTTAAACGAAAGTATCAATTAAGACGACATTAAAACCATAACCGTTTTACTCCATCACATAGAAAACTATTCATTTCCTTATTCTCTTTTATCTTCAATCTTAACAAAACAATGTCTCCTTGTGAAAGAGTTTCCAATCTTCAGAAGACAAACGGCGGATATCGTATTTGTGTACAGATACTAAGAGATTGTTATGATTATACTCTCTTCGATCGACCTAATCGGATGTTAATTCTTGCGGATGAATTTATAAGTTTTGGAGGTTTGAAAAGATTTACCGTATATATGTTTTAGGAATGTATTTCTTAATTATTTATTTTGATAAACCGTGTAGGGTAATCGCAACCTGTCTACTATTCAATATGATATAATGGACAAATTCGAGTATGCATTGGTTGAAGGATATTGGGTTTTTCTTGGTAATTTTGAAGTTACTGACAGAGTGATTCGTCCAAGTATATCATCAAACAACTATCATATACATTTACTCGAGGATACTATTGTTGACAAACACGATCCAAAGTCTTCCAGAGAAATATACTCTTTTTGTGCATTCATGAATATTTTATATAGATTTATTCATACAGATAGATATCTTGGTATGTTTCTTACAACTTTTTATTTTAAATCGTTTATCTAAGGAACTCCAACATGTATTTAAAGGCAGTCTTTTATTTTTGCAGTCTTTTATTTTTGCAGTTGATCTTCTCGGTGTTGTCACATTTGTTCAGAAACTTCAGTTAGGAGTTCCTATGCCCGATACATCGGACACACCCACGCAACGTCCACTTATTCGTTTTAAAATTCAAGATTTCAGGTCTGTACAACTTATCCTCAAAACATATGTTATGTGTATATTGTTTACAAATTTTAAAGTATATTAATAATGTTATAAATGATTTAAATATACAGTGGAGAATCTTTGAAATGTATTGCTTGGGATAACTTGGCAAGGAAATTTGAAGAACTTTGGAAGAATCGTGAAAGGTCTTCTAGGCATATTATTGTATTGCGATTTTTCTCTTTCACTAGATGGAGAGGTAACTAACTACCTCATTATTTGATAGTTTAATTAATTATAAGTTTACATATATATTTTTCCCATATACTGAGTATATCTATGTATTTAGATGAATGGATAGTTGAATCGGAAATATTCATATCTGATATTCTCGAGGATCCTCCTACTCCAGAAGTGGAAAGAGCAAGGTTGAGATATGTTTATTCCATCTTTGATACTGTATCCTGTATTTTAATATTTATAAATATAAATATATATATATATATATATATAATTATAAAAAATCATAATATTATTTCAGACTTGCAACTTCCATTGATTTTCCTCCGGTCCACGATGAATATGAAAACCATTCTCAGTAAAAGAGATTATTTTTTCCTATTTCTTATTTTTATAGTGTTAAACTTGAAAATCTTAACTTATATATTATTCTGATTGATATAAATTATCCAAACAATTTAATTGTGTTAGCATTTTTTCTTGAATCGTACTCTATTTTTTTTCAACAAAAAATAACTATGATATTCAAAATTTGTATGGTCCGTGATTTGTGTATGTATTAAAAAATAGAGTACATAAATTTTGGGATTACTCTCATTAATTATTTGTAATTAATAAAATGAAGTAACTGATTTAATTAAAGAGAAGTAGTCAGTAAAAGATATGATATTTTTCTACCATCTTTACATATTTTTCTATATATATTTAATCAACATAAAAGTCAAATATACCTATGAATTGAATGTAACCAATTTGGTTTGTTCGTAAGTCACGTAGTGCAACAAATGTCAAAGGTTGCAATTTATTCTATTTTTACAAAACGACACAACCTTCCAAACCCTATACTTGCTTTGCTATACATATAAAGGACCATGTAAAAAAACGTCTCGCCATCTTAACCAAACAAAACCTAAAGGTTGAGGAAAACAACCACTTTCCTCAAACATGCCTCGCTATTGTACTCTTGAGTATCTTTCTCCCACAAAACCTGACTCCAGAATTTTTATAAAAGTTCTACGAGTTTGGGAACACTTCAACTACCGTAATCAACGCCAGGAATTGCATCTTATCCTCGGTGACGAAAATGTAAGTTCATCTTTTTGAAGTTTTTTTATTCTATTGCATGTTATGAACATTTAAACACATGAATATCTGAAATGATTATTTGGTTCACGAATTTAGGGCTACAAAATAGAGGCATCGATAGATCAGGATCTTATCCCTTCGCTCGGTCCAAAGGTTAAAGAACGAGAATGGAATTATGTCAAATTCTTCAGCGTTGTCAATGCGTTCGGATCATTCAGAAATACTATAAACTACCACTTCATCAACATGAACGCCGATACTGTTGTAGACAAGACCTTTCAAGTCAATCCTAAGTATATGATAGATTTTATGCCATGTGATGTCATTATCCGAGGGAATTTCCCTACTGAGTATTCTATCGGTTAGGCTTCTCACATTTATTCAATTTAAGAATTATTATAAATATTGTGTAATGAAATTTTTTTCTTTGTAGACTTGATCGGCGTAATCATCTATGTTGATGATGAACTAAGTACTGACATTGATGATCCCTACGAGATGATTATGTTGATAAGGGACATGAAGTAAGATGTTTTATATTATCATCTATATATGTAAAGGCTAATAATTTGTCTTATATTGTACATATGTATTTTTGTTAATGTTGTGGTAATATAATTTTTTGGTTTAGTTATGTTGATATGGACATAACACTCATTGGGAAGACTGCTCTGAATTTCTGGAAGAAATGGGAAGACATAGGTACTAATGAAACAATCTTGACTTTGCGCATGTTTCGTCTGACCTATGATTCTGAAGGTTAGTAATTAAATTTTACAATCGAGTGGGAACATTCAATTCCACTTTGTTAATATGATAATTTGGCTTCTAACATGTGTGCTCTTTATATTTTAAAATCATACAGAGAGATATCGCATAAGGAATGCTGGAGACCATTCTGAACTACTTTTCAATCCTCACATAAAAGAGGTTTCTGATTATCTTAACTGATAATTTTTCTAATTGGTATTAATATATATATAATATGTTTTATGGTTTATTTTAATCTTTTTTCAATTGTTAACTTGAAATTATTTTTGGTCAGGCTTCTTTTTATCGAAATCCATAGAGATCTGAGCTGGCCATAATTTTAATTCTTATTATGTACTTATATTTTCTTGTAACTGTTAAACATTCCCATTATGTAATATTTTCCCATAAAACTGGGATGGATTTGAACCTACTTTCGTATATTTGTAATGACTTATTTAATATTTATTTATGGTAATGTTTAATTGTCAATTTACTTATGTCATTTAATATCACTGTATTTATTGTTTATATATTTTACATGTATATATGTATAGTTTTGGATATAACATATACCATCTTTATATAGAATCCATTTGATTTTAGAAAGGTTACTTCCTTTATAGACATTTTCTTCTATCGAATATTGCACATTTCCATAATAATAAAACATTACCAAAGTATACTACTACAATATAGTAACGGCCATTTTTTATATTATGCCAATTTTAGTACCATAACGATTTATGTAAGTAGACTTCGACATTACATTTATTACTTACCTTTATGAATTTGCTTATTTATAACTATGCCAAACGATGCAACTATAACGCTTCTTAGGCAATTTCATCCAATGCTCACTATTGATCTTTTTTTTTGGTTCAAATGCTCACTATTGATCTATTAACAACTTTACATGTAAGAGTAAATTGAAATTAATTCCGATTTTGACGTTTTCATTTCAGTGCTGACAACTGACGTTAAGCGTTTCTCATAACATTTAGAGTTGAGTGTAAAATGTTATATAAATTATCGATGTTTTAATGTGTGTGGATTATAATCAATGTAGCAGATGAGATTATAATCTTACGAATCAATACATATATATGAGAAAGTGATTTGGGAAAATAATTATTTTTTATTTGAATCAATATAATACAATTTATTGTAGCAATATGCTTAGATAATTCCAATAAAGATAGATAATTAAGGTACCAAAATAAAAAAAACAGAGATAATTTTAGCTAAACTCAAAAGTTTCTCCTTCCACGTTTATTCTTATGTGCCTGTAAGATTCAAAAACATATAATGTTGTTAGCTTCAAACATATTAGTTAAACAAATCAATGTATTAATGGAATATTAACAGCTTACCCACTGAGATTTATCTAGGTACCGGATCTCTGTCTTAACGAAACTGCATTCTATACATTTCAAACCTATCTCCAGATCTAGACGGAGATCGTGTTTTCCGTTCTTGCAACGTTTCTTTGGATCATCAGTCAATATTTCTTCATCAGGCTGCAGATATTACATATTCATATAAACATTTAATTATACAGAAATCATCAATAAAAACGAATAATTTAAAGTTTAAATTACCTCAGAAGAAACCTCGATAGCATTCACAGTTGATTTGCTGAGAAAGTCATTCATCTCTTCCCACATATTAGTTTCCTTAATCTCTGATTCAGAAATTGGAGGAGGTGATGGTGTTTCTTCCACACCAAATCTCATGTTCAATGGTGATGGATTAATTTTCAGTATTCCGTTTTCATCATAACGTTTTTCTTGGTGATTCTCCATTTTTGTGTAATCTCTTATCAGGCGTTGAAGGTGTAAGAGAAAATTTAAGAAGTATGTTTATAATCGAAGGAACTCTTATTTTATATAGGATAGGATAGTTATAAAATATTCAATGTCAACAATTTTCTATGTTTTATTTGGAATACTGTTTCAACCAACCAGTTTGACTTTTTAACTTTCGTTTTTGATATATGGATATAATATTTACACACGTCTTCTTCGTCCAATTCACACAAATTAGCTCATACAAAAATATTTAAATTTTTGGATTTTCCTCTTTACAGTTTGATTTAAACCGCAATATATGGTAACATAATCTCAAATTTTGGAAATCTTTGATAAAATTAAACAACTCTTTAAATTTCAATTTTAACTAAAATACATAAATTATATAAAATGCGATTTTTTGGTATTTGAGATAATTGCAAATGAGAAATAATAATTCTAACAATCCTAGAAATAGGAAAATCGTTATAGTTCAAATTAAAAAATCCCAATTAAAAGGTTTGTATTTTTTACACAATATTGGATCTCATTCGAGGTAAATAACAATTTTCTACATAATTAGAGTTTTTTCTAAAAATTCCAGTGAATAATAAAAAATCTACAATAGCAAAAACTTATAGAAAACGGTATACATTTCTGTTTAACTACTGAGCAAAATAACTTGTATCTCACTCTTCAATAAGTACACTGTCAATACTCTATCCAAAAGTTGGTATAACAGTATACTTCCAGTCGAAAGTGAGCATTCATATGTAATATAATTACAATAACTCTGTGGCGAAACAATGAATAAAACTACTTATACTGATGTGATTCTTCACAGATGCACAAGAAATATTATGTAGGAAAACGTGTATTTTTCTTTCATGTAAACATATTTTTTGTACGTCTATGTGAGGATCACATCAGAAGAATAATTGTAGTATGGGTTGTGTTTAAGTGAGTAATTGTTTGCTTGGTTATTTGATCAAAATTCTCTTATGGTGTGTATATATAGAATTCTTAGAGAGTGACCACTACAAGAAAACAATCGTTTTCCAACGGTCCATTACGACGGTTTTAAAATCGTCGCAAACTTACAACGATTTTACGACGATGTTACGTCTAATTTAAAAACCATCGTAACACTGTCGTATAATAAAATCGTCGTAAACTCGACGTACAATTTACGACGAATTACGACGAATATACATCGATAACGAGAGATTTGCTAGTAAATGTAAAATCGTCGTAAATTCGATGCAAAATTACGACGAATATACGACGACTGCATTTCGATGTACATATTACGACGATTTTACGTCGAAAAAGAAGTTAGGTGAAAAACATTTAAAACATGTTTACCTAACATTTGTAGATGAAAGATTTTATCGCATAATCGTCGTAAACTCGTCGTAATATTATTGTTGAATGTAAAATCGTCGTAAAAAGTTGTCGTAAAAGCGTTGTAAAGCCCGAAATTTTCCTATAGATCTTCATTCCTTCATTCAATCACAACACATCATCATTCAAACATAAGAGCATCTTCATCTTGGAGACCCATTATAGGTCTTTTAAATTTTAGTATAGTGTTGTAAATCCTTATATATTGGGTTGTCCATTGCTGGAAACCCGAATTAGGACTTATATTACTTTGAAAAAAAGAAGTAATAATATTATAAGGTTAATTTACTCCATTCACGTGGCTAGACGTGACACAAGAGACCACCTCCTTTATTTTCTAATCAATAAAAAGAGATATTATTTTGAGTTTATTTTCAAGATGTCTATATACGAGCTAAGAAGTTGGATGTATATGCGTAAAGATTCAGATGGGGCGTTGACAGAAGAGTTCAAGAACGGGTTAGAAATATTTATGTTTCAGGCTACAAATATGGAGAGAACGAAAGATAGTGGGAAGATGTTTTGTCCTTGTTTGAAATGCAAGAATACGAGGTATACACTAACCAAAACCGTGTGGACGCATTTATTAAATAGAGGGTTTATGCCGCAATATTTTGTTTGGTATCTACACAGAGAAGGATATGGCAGTAATACTCATGGGAATGCTGGTAGTAGTAGTAATTATCAAAGTCATGTTGATATTGATGAATCGAATTATGGTCATCAGCCTAATCAGTATCAATATGATCAAAGTGTAGATCATGATAAGATGCACGAAATGATGACTGATGCATTTCATGAAACGCATACTGGTAATGCTGTTGAGGAACATAATGTAGATGCCAAACGATTTTATGATTTGTTAGACAATGCTAATCAGCCAATCTACGAAGGATGTAGAGAAGGCTTGTCTAAATTATCGTTGGCAGCTAGGATGATGTCAATTAAAACAGATCATAACCTGGCTGAGGTTTGCATGGATGATTGGGTTGATCTTCTGAAAGAATATCTACCGGAGGATAACTTGGCAGCGGAAACATACTATGAAATTCAGAAGTTGATTTTTAGTCTTGGTCTACCTTCTGAGATGATAGATGTATGTGTTGACAACTGTATGATTTTTTGGAAAGATGATAATCAGCTGGAAGAATGTCGATTTGCCAAAAACCAAGATACAGGCCGCAAACTGGTGGGCGTAAAAGGATACCGTACTAACGTATGTTGTATCTCCCTATAACTGATAGGTTAAAACGGCTTTATCAATCTGAAAGGACAGCTGCATCAATGAGATGGCATGCGGAACATACACAAGTAGATGGAGAAGTTGTTCATCCATCAGATGCAAAGGCATGGAAACACTTCAATATGGTATACCCAGATTTTGCTAAGTTCAAACGGAATGTCTATCTTGGTCTGTGCACTGATGGTTTTAGTCCATTTGGTATGTCTGCTAGACAATATTCATTATGGCCAGTAATCCTAACTCCTTATAACCTTCCTCCAGATTTGTGCATGCAAAGGGAATTTCTTTTCCTAAGTATTTTGGTTCCAGGTCCAAATCATCCGAAGCGAGCTCTCGATGTATTTCTGCAGCCACTCATACATGAGTTGAATCAGTTATGGTATACTGGCGTTCGTACATATGACTGTTCTACGAGGAAAAATTTTACTATGCGGCCTGTGCTTATGTGGACAATAAGCGATTTCCCCGCTTATGGTATGCTATCAGGATGGACTACACATGGGAGGCTATCTTGTCCTTATTGTCTTCATCGAACTGATGCGTTTCAGCTAAAACATGGTAGAAAAACTTGTTGGTTTGATTGTCACCGGAGGTTTTTACCGGATAACCATCCATATCGGAGGAACAAGAGGTTATTTATGAAGAACAAAAGTGTACATGTCCCTACACCCATTAATTTAACAGGAGCTGATATACAGGCGCAAATCGATCATTGGAGGGCAGAGGAAACAGTAACGCGTGGGGGAAACTGGCACACTCCTGCA